AGATGCCAACTCTTGAAGAACATGAACAGCAGATTCCAGAGTACAGAGGAGAAGGACGCGTCGATGCTATCTTGGAATCCATGAGCAAGATTCCCTCAATACCTGATCAAATAGAGACCGTCACCACTCCAGAGGAAATGCTCATCTGGAAATACTCTGTCACGAACGTTGAGCCCGCTTATGATCCCGAGCTGACTGACATTCCATCTCCTGCTGCAAAATTCCACTTCTCTCGATTGACTAAGCCACGTGAACAAGTCTTCTCACGCTTAAAAATCATCTCCTTGGGCTCAATCTCACCAAGGAATATGTTAAAGAAGGTCGTGTCTTATTCTCAATACGTAGTAAGGAGGGAAGACAACAATGTATACATGTTCACGGATGCAGATCTTCACAATCTCTGTGTGTTCGACGTTATTTTCATGTATAAAATTTTAAATGCCTATACAGAGAAGAGGTCCTCTTATGCAATTTCACTCAGAAGGCTGATTCAAGTCATGCACGTACACGTTATGTACTGCAGCCAGAAAGACTTCGAGTTGGCCATGCGACTTGGATAGAAGAGTCTGAAGATCACCCCTCCTTACAGCAGACCAAGTTGGGTCGCTAGGTACTATCCGAACACTATTATACACAATCCCATCTTTGGGTTTGTGTATGTRGACAAGGATCAGATACTTAGATTCTTTAACCTAATCGAACCGCACAAGTTCTCAACCGAGACATTGGAATGGATATTCAAGTGCATHATGGCAGAGGTGGAAAATGGAAAGCTAAGGGTTGATGAGGTTTCTGATCTCTTGGTACCAATCAAAGCTCAAATCAGTTTCAGGGAGTTCCTCTTCAACGTTTACAGAACGATCAAGAYAGATTTYGTATACAAAATAGATGATTTTCCAGAGTCTGCTGTTTGACTCTTCTTGAATTTGGAATAGCTTCACAAACATTGTAACTTTAAATTTAACGCTTTGTAATTAACTTTCAAGTATTTCATTTCAGAGGTTRATGGTTTATCACTTCTTGTAATTTCTTTCAAGTAATGTCTTGCTCTTTCCATTCCTAGTTTACTTTTTCAAACTTAGGGGGAGATTGTTAGCTCTCATCATCTTTGAATGTAAAAGTATCGAAAAAGTATCACAACAAGTTTTGACAGAAGATGATCTGTCACAGAAGACCGCAGAGGACATTCAACAATGTAGCCCATCATTCAAGAAAAAGACGACAGAACCTCTGTCGTGTCTCACAGAGGTTCTGGAAGAATGTTCCTCTGTATCAAGCTTTCARGTCATAAACAGCAGAACCTCTGTGGTGTCTCACAGAGGGTCTGCAGTTAGTCTTCTGTGCGGATCTCTATGTACTTAGGTTTATTAGCTGCTCGTGCTAAACACGTGATCATGTCTGTAATCTGCTTTATTTGGACGGCTTAGATTAAATAATACGTCTAGGTCTGTCTTGGCGGTTATTTGCTTGTATAAAAGCAGCTTTAGGCCTTTGTATTTTACATGCTTCTACTTTGTAATTGTCAACATTTTCTATGTGAAAATCATATGAAGCATTCTCTCTCTGTGTTCTTCAAAAGTTCTTCATTGTGTTCTTATTGATTTCTACCTGCTTGATTTACAAATGTCCGCTGCGTACTCAATGTCTATCTATTTAATCAAGTAAGATTTCAATACCCTGAACTGAGTAATACGGTCCAACAAACTTTTTATTTAAATGAATTTAACCAACATGGGTTTATAATTTGAAGAAAAATGTCAAAATTGAGAAAAATGACATTTTAACAATTTTGGGGCTTAAATTTAATAAAAAAATATATATTTTGGGCTTGGGACCCCCCATGGCCGGCCACCCCCCCCCCCTTCCCT